TTGAATTATTATGTTTATTCTTGTGCTACAATGGAGTGCCACTCAGCGTCAATGCTGAGCGGATAGCGTTGTTTTCCTTTTTGCTGTCCGTAGGTGATCAGACAGATGAACCTAGAGCCGATCCCAGAGGGCATTGAGGAGGAGATGTACGATGGCGTGGCTGTCTCTTTAATCTGTTGATTATGCTTTATTTAATTAACTTTAATGCTTATTACGTTTTCGGGCAAGATCCCAAGTTGTTTGACTTTAAAAAGGCTTCGGCATTATTTTAAATTACTCCGATGGATTTTTATATGTATTGATAGAACGTTTGTTTAAAATTGTTTTGAAAATGTTGTATATTCGGATACCAATCCAGTGGCACACCGGTCCGCTGTCTCACAGGTTTGGGTTATGCGGGTTGGGGTGTTACACTTGGCATCAAATTTTCCCAAGTTATATTTGCCGTTATTATGAATAAAACATTTGCAACCAAAGACTCGAAGATGGGAAAGGTTTGGCTTTCTCCCTTTGTATAATTCATAAGGCGTTTTCACGAGTATCGGTCGAATGACGGCTCGGTTTAACACGTAGCTCGCGGTACTCACGGCATCCGCCCAAAAATACTTAGGGATTTTTGCCTCATTGATCATAGTTCTAGCCATCTCTTCGAGACATCTATTTTTGCATTCCACCACTCCATTTTGTTGTGGTGTACGTGCTGCTGAGAAGTTATGATCAATGCCAAGTTCGTCACACAAATCTGAAAATAGATTTCGTTCGAACTCTCCCCCATGGTCGCTTCTTATGGCTACTATGGTTGTTTCTTTTTCATTTTGAACTTTCTTTAGAAAATTTTTGAAAACATGAAATGCTTCACTTTTATGAGTAAGAAACAAGGTCCATGTAAACCTAGAGTAGTCATCGACAATCACAAACACAAAGTAGTTGCCACCAAAACTTTTCGTTCTAGAAGGACCAAAGAGATCCATGTGCAAAAGTTGAAGCGGTCTAGACGTTGAAACAACGTTCTTAGACTTAAACGAGGCCCGAACTTGCTTCCCCTTTTGACACGCATCACATATGGTGTCTTTTTCAAACTTAAGTTTTGGAATGCCAATTACTAAGTCTTGTGAAACCAATATGTTCAAAAGGTTCATGTTCATATGAGCTACCCTTCGGTGCCATAACCAAGTGTCTTCCTCTTTACTCATGAGGCACTTAGCAAAGCCAAAGGGAGATTTGTCTAAGTTAACCATATAAATGTTATCGATTCTATCACCACGTAGAATGACCTTATTGTCACTAAGGCGTTCTACCGTGCATGATTTTGAATCGAAGGTCACACGGTTTCCCCTGTCACATAATTGACTTATGCTCAAGAGATTGTGTTTAAGGCCTTTAACAAGCAAGACATTATCTATAGAGGAGTTTTCAGATTTACCAACTAAACAACCGCCGATGATCTTTCCCTTGCTATTATCTCCAAAAACTACGTTTCCTCCTTTAGCAGGTTTGATTTGGAGAAACTTGGATGCATCCCCGGTCACGTGATTGGAGCATCCGCTATCAAGGTACCAAAGTACACTTGATGCCTTCAAGCACACCTATGAAACACAGCAATGAGTTTTAGGTACCCAATTTACGTTGGGTCCACGGGTGTTAGGTGTGTGATGGTAGTGTAGCAAACGGGAGCAATATGGCCTATCTTATTACAATAATGGCAAACTACATTAGGGTTGTACATATGCCTAGGTTCAAAATAGTTCGAAGGCTTAACCATTTTGTTCCTATTTTGTGTAAACGATGGTTTTTGGAAATTTTGAAACTGGCCTTTTCTAGGTGTCCTAGCATTATTTTGTCTATTTGAAAAATTATTTTTATGCACAAAATCATTTTGATAATTTTTTCTAGGTTGTCTAGCATGCACATTTTCATTCCTAGGTTTTTGTCTAGGTTGTCTAGTGTCCCTAGGTTGACTAGATTTTCTATTATCCTGATTTTTAACTTTCTTATGTTGAGCCTTAGGAGGTTGTCTAGGTGTTTGCTCAACGTTTTTATCCTTAGATTTATTTTTA